CTGCCAGTTCGCACTGGCTGACTGCCGGCGCGCTGCTGCCGCTACGTGCAGGCAGCGCGGCCATGACCGGCCTTTGCCGGCCGTCCGGCGATTACTCTCGAGCAATATAACTTGAAATAACATGAAATATCTTGACTTGGTCAAACTTGCTGAAAACACTTAAAAAACATGAATTTCGCACAACAAGCTAAACATGGCCGTGGCGGGCGCACTATGCGCCGCCTACGGCGTTAAGCCGTTTCTCAACCAAACATGATTTTCTCTCGGCAATCAACACATAACTGATCAAGAAATACTATTTATTGAATAAATTGACATGAATGCTCGATGGACTTTTACTTAACATAATCGCTACACATGAACGGCCTGTGGTGCGCGCTACGTGCGCGACCACGCTCCTCGGCCAATTATATGATTAAACATGAAAATTTTTCGAGCACATGAGGTTAACTGAACATAATATAGCATGACATGACTGAATACATGAAGTTTGCTCGAGAGATTGAATTAAAACACGAACGTGTTCAACATGGACTACACGCACAGTTAAACATAACTTAAAGCCGAATCATGAACATGACTAGAGCAAAACTAAGCTAACATGACTTTAACATGATACATTAGAGGTAAACCGAAGTTACCTTCCTAAACACTCGGCTGGTCGCACTAACTGCTCGGGATTAACTGGAGCTTCCGTGCGTGCGGTTCTCGGCGCTTGCGTGCGGTGCGGCTAACTTCTCGCGTGCGTGTGAACTCTCTACTTAGGAAAATCTCACTTACTCTTCCAATCTCTATACTAGCATATATATAATAGGGATGAGGAAGGCAAAAATTCTCCAAACTCTCCTTATTTATAAGGAACCGAACAAGAAAGAGGGGAGGTGGAGGCTTGGTGGATTCCTCATGTGATGCCACTTGTAATAAGTAGAATTATTTGGGTGCTAAGTCATGAACTTAAGGGATTACTCGTCACTAAGTGCCTTTAAGCAATGACACCTCATGCTTAAGCATTTGAAGAAAATTCTCCCCCCCCCC